AAGCCGGACGCTTAACCGACTGCGCCACCCAGGCGCCCCATAGTATTGTATCAAATAGCTTCTACAGTAATTGAGGGTAAGGGCATTTCTTGTGTGTGTGCACCCCCCACCTCACTCACTCTGGGAATTTGCGCCATAGTAATAATCTAGGCAAGTAGATAATGATGGAAGTTGGTGCAATGAGCATGTTAGGCCATTGAACTGCATGGCCAAATTCTATGTTTAACTGAGTTCTATGGGAGCAGGACTGGTTCCCCGTGTAAGAAGACTGGACTTTCACCTTTCAGTTCAGTGGCCAGTAAGTAGGAAAAAACTGAACCAGAGAAGACATGACTCTCCTCTCCCCCGCCCTACTTTCTGACCTATGCACCCGGCCCCTGAGAATCTTATATTCAGTTTGCTCAGGGGAAGAAAGAGCACCAAGTAATTCTTGAGGGCACATGGGAAATTATCATCTGAATCTGAAATTAGCATGTTATATAGAACTGTTTGAGAAAACTAAGGAAGGTGAAAAAAAGGATGAAAATGTAATGTTGGAATTGTCTGTGGTTAACCACATAATCGGAGTCTCCTAGTAAATAAGCCATTTCCTGAGAGAAATGTAGTTATTTTGGAAGTGATTTCAACTTTTAAAGTCATTGATGTGCCATTTAGTATTTAAATTACAGTGATTTACAAAAGGCCACCCAGAGTGGTCTGGATGTTCCAGGCTTTCTCCAAAACACCTCATGCATTCCAGAACAGGAAGTGGAACATTTGGAGAGCTTGGCTCACCACGCATGTGTAGCCCAAATGTAACTTCTGAAGCATCATTTTCTACTCAGTAGCTTACTTTCACAAATTTTACTCACATGGTATAATGGAAGAGACACAAATTCAAAATGCTTTTAGAACCCTACCTGGTCTCATTTATAATTTTTTTTAACGCTTATTTATTTTTGAGACAGAGAGAGACAGAGCATGAATGGGGAAGGGCCAGAGAGAGGAGTCACAGAATTGGAAGCAGGCTCCAGGCTCTGAGCTATCAGCAGAGTCCCACCCGGGGCGCGAACTCACACACCTCGAGATCATGACCTGAGCCGAAGTCCGACGCTTAACCTGACTGAGCCACCCAGGACTGAGCCACCCAGGCGCCCCTTATTTGTTACACATCAGAGGTCGGAAAACTGCCCACAGAACAAATTTGGCCCAGTTTTTGTAAATAAAGTTTTTTTAGAGCACCACCATGCCCATTCGTTTATGTTATTGTCTATGGCTGTTTTCACGCTACAACAGCACAGGAAAATAGTTGTGACAGAGATGATCTGGCTCTTCGCAGAAAACATTCACTAACCATCTGTGTATGTTATTGCATCAGTAGCAAAACCTATCAATCACTGAAGATATAATAGGGTTTTCTTTCTTTCTCTCTTTCTCTTTTCTTTTTTTTGGTAGCAATCACACACATCAAGGATCCATCAGGCACATTTCATTAGGACGAAATCTTATTTCTACAGAATTTATTTTGTGCCTCGGATGTCCTTCCCGGGAACGAATTCTCATTTAAACAAAACAGACACGCACACATTCAAAAAGTGTTCTTTTATTATTTCTAGTAACATATATTGTATAAATACTCTATTTTTATATGCCCTTTTACAAAAGCGATATAACTTAAAAGTTTTATCATTAGAAAGAAATGTATAAAAATAAATATGTTATTATAGGCATTTATTATCAACTATAGTCCTTCTTAGAAGGAACACACAAATACTTATGAAGTACATAGAATTTATAGTAACATATTTTACTATATACATATGGGAAAAAAAAAAAGTCCTATTCTCTTTCATAGTAGAAGAGCTGAACAGACATTCACCAGGATATGACTGTTGGGCCAGCTGCTGGGGGTGGGCCTGCTACCCCTCAGGAGCCTCCCCACTGCGAGACTAGTGATCTCCATGTCCCCAAACACTGGGGATCCCACTCTACACGCCCCACCCTTATACTGGCATTACATCCTTTTGTGTGTGTGTGTGTGTGTGTGTGTGTGTGTGATCACCCGGTCCTTCTTGAGCCGTGAACCGGTTTTTGTTTTCTGTTTGTGTTTTCCACCCACATTCCAAAAGTAGGCTTGCATGAGGAGGAAAGAAGGTGGAAGGTTTGAGCTTATCCTGTCTCCTCTGACTTTCACTAGCGTCTGATTCATTGCTGCCTTTTTTTTTTTCCTAACTCCTTATAGACTTAACGCATTTTCACAAACACGTGGAATTGTTTCTTTGTCAAAATGACGTCACGGATGAAGACCCCGCAGTGGCACAGGACAGCGAAGACGGCGTTCCTTTTCAGTCACTTTATGTTGCGAAGCATTTCTCTCACGGAGGACAGTCTTGCATTCTTAACTCTCAGTAGAGACGACGGCGGAAGTGTTCTCCGAAATCGTAGCAGCCGCGATCAATCAGCGCTGGCTGAAGATGCTATGGGCCCTCCTTTCTCCCTCCGTGGTTCGCGAGGTAAAGCAAGCCCTGTCTGCAACTGAAAGTCTCCTCTTTCTCCTGCTTTTCAGTTCCCAACCCGCACGGCACAAAGTACTTAATCATTTAATCGGTACCACAGCACGGGGATCGTGTACTCCTTAAACTAATTGTGACAACTGCGTCTATTTGTTTCTTACACTTGTCATAGATGTAACAAAAGGAATAATAATAATGCCCCGGGGCTTTATCATGCTATATCATTGCTCAGAGATTAATAACCCTCATTAGCTACCCTATCAGATTCGTAACTGGCAGGATATTCTGCCGATCTAACTTCTTTTCTACCTACCTCCACACTCCCAACTCCTTACCCTCTCTGTTCATCACCGGCAAGGTACACTGGATCCCTCCAGCCTTCTTGGTATCAGTGCACCAGCCCTTCCACACCTCATCCTCCCCTCAACGCTCCCCAGCTTAACTGCATTCTGCCATCGTACAGAAATCTATGTAATGCTTCGGTTTCTTGAAAGGATCGCAGCTCTCGTGAGACAACACCCCCCCGTCGTGGGACAGACATTGCAAGGTTCTCTTTTTGTAACCTTTCCCGCAAGTCTTGGAGCATGGTGACCAATCCCCCAGCTGCCAGTGGGGGCAAGGCACGTCCGCGCAGGGTCGGGTGCTGGCTGGCTTCACCTCCTTCGCACACTCCGAGGCGGGCTGCCCATTGATGTCTCGGCACTCCACCACTCTCCTCTGCCAACCCAGTCCGCATGACTTGGAACATTCGCCCCACTCTTCAATGACCCATTCTGAGAAGGTAGGGATGGCGTTGAAAGGTTCCTTCTTCTTCTTCACAAAATAGGTGTATTTAATTTTCGGGCGAAGGGCATTGCCCACGGTGAGGACCTGGATGGTTATTGGCTCTTTAAGCGGGCTAAAGCTGCGGATTCTTTCCAACGCGGCGGAGGAACCACTGTACCTCAAGACGGTACCCTTGTAGGTAATGTCTTGCTCTAAAGTGGACAGAGTGAAGTCGCCGTTCAGGATATATGTGCCGTCAGCGGCTTTGATGGCAAGATAGCTGCCATTATTCCTGGACCCCCGGTGATTCCGTTGTTTCACCTCAATGTTTGTGGCTCCGGCAGGAATCGTGACGATGTCATGATACCCAGGTCTGCAGGCAAGAAAAAACAGATATAAAACTCTCTCGGTCGCTGGCTAATTATAACACTCAGCTGGAAAACACGCGAATCATTTGGAACGTCAGCTCTCCCAGACCTGTCAAGTTACCTCTACGTAACAAGATCTTTGGGAGTATGACGTTTCAAGACTCACTTTGCACTAGTAACCGATCCTGAGGTCTTCTTGCACGTAGATCCGTTTCCTCCACAAATACCGCATTTGTCAAACTTCTTTTTGGAGTCTATGATACGATCGCAGCCAGCTTTGACACACTGTCCTTGCACGCAGACAGAGGTGGAATCGGGGCTACACGGGGTACCATCAACCACCTGGAGGAGGGAGAACACGTATCTGGTGTCACACGTGAGTCAACTTGGGAAAGAGATGATGTTGCGATAATTACGGGAGATTTTCTCATGAACATAATGCCTCTGCTTTCCTGATCATCGTAACGAGAGGAGTGCTCTACACGTGGCACACGTGACCCTTCTGGGTGGCTTTTTCACTACAGTAGATATAGGCGTCTGAAAATACTATACATTTTGATTACTTGTTTATTGACCTGTCTCACGTCTAGGTCAGGGCAATGAAAGCAGAGCCGGTCCATCTGCATACTGCGGTACGCTCAGTGCCTAGAATAATTCCCGCCAATTGCAGATGCTAAGTCGGCTGTTACCCGTTGAAGCCGCAACCGGGAAATATTTTCACAGCCTACAGTGATAATGGCACATGATAATCCAAGCAACATTCGTTTCATTGTTCTTAAATCTCAGAACCAGATTTATCCTCGCAGCAAAACAGCAAAAGGATGCTTCTACTAGTTCAACGTACGTTCTCAAACACAAGTGTTATCGACGTCAGACTTCCTTTTAATAAGTCCATTTGCACACGTTACCGCTAATCACCGGTCACAAGAACTGTGCTCCACGCTAATGCTATTTTCCAAAAGCGCTGTCAGGCTGCCATGCTAATACACAATTTATCTGACCATAAAGGCCTTTTCTCTGCATATCAGAGTAATAACAAGCAATGCTAAGAATCCTAAGTGCCTGATTCGGGCTTCGTTCATAACTGGGAACGATGCCACACTCAAAAGAAGGCGGTGGGCAACATGTCTAGAACAAAAAGGAGATCCGATTTGAAAATCGAACACGTTGGGATGTGAATTCATGCAACTGCATCACAGGCTGCATGAAAAGGTTGCAGTCCAAGCCCTCGTTTCTTGGGCAACAAGTATGGATCGAAGTAAGTACCTTGGGCTGCAGAACGAAGAAGAAGCCAATGCCTTTGGCTTGACAGATGAGCTTGCATCTGTCCTTCGGCGAGACGCCAGCATACTTGGGTGTCCACTCCACCGCGGGCCCGCTCCCGAAGGAAACCTTAGAAAACTCGTTGTGTGCCTCACACTGTTCCTCTCTAAATGTTTTTCCTGGGAAGAAAATGATATCATGACGTCATCGGTTTTCAACCCTCGCCTGCCTGCTCGTGGGCACATCACTTGCGACCCGCTTCTACTCACCGTTGTTATCCGGACAGTCTTCGATGTTACAGGACCTGTAGCGCACGCGCTTGCCTTCACAGTACTTCCCTCCGTTTTTGGGGACCGGGTTGTCACATTCCCTCATGGTGTACTGAACTCCTCCGCCACAGGTTCTCGAACAGTCTCCCCAGGGTCCCCACGGCCCCCAGCTTCCATGAATAGGAGTCTGCATGGGGACACAAATGATCAGCATTAGAACTCTTTACGGAACTCTTTTTAGTCAACGAACGAGAAAAGTAAGAGATGAAGAATCCGTTGTAAAAACCATCTGTCTTGTGTCCCCCCCCCCCCCCCCCCCCCCGCCCCCATCAAAGGACACAGACAGGGGTGCCTATCGTGCAATCAGATGTTTTAGCATCGGACTGCTCCTTCCAATTCCGAATCTTAAAGGCGTAGGCGCGTGCGGTGACAGGCAAAACTCACATGGAAATGCATCTTGTCCGTCTTGTTCACACACTTGCCGTTCAGACACCATTTCCCTTCTCCACAGCTGGTGCCGTCCGCCCAAGGGAAGTGTTTCGTTTGGCACACCAGCAACCCGCCAGAGGTGCCCGTGCACCACAGGGTCGTACAAGTGCTGGCTGCATCCAGGCAGTGCTTGGACTCTTCCCCAAATGTAAACTGGCACTGCCGGTTGGCATCGTACAAGGTCCCCGGGAGATCGGAGGGAAGCTGGAGGGGGCTCTGGGGCTTGTCCATCAAACATTCCCCTGCAAAGGAAATGCCGACCAGTATTAAAGAGCGGTGACTGCAAACAGACAGAAGGTAGATCAGTTTCAGAACACAGTTACCGTAAGAAATCACAGAGAGCAGAGTGATTTGAAAACTAGAGCTGCTGGGGAAAACGCCAGCGAGAGTTAAATAATTTGTAAGATACTGTCCTCCAAAGGGGATTTCTGCATTAACAGTGACAGGAAATTACTGTTCTGCTAAAAAGCTCAAATTAATGCCCTTTTAGGAGCTACTCGGCCAGAAGCACTGTCATTTACTGGGAATTAAGATCCAAAAATGTATGCTCGTGGGGCGCCTGGGTGGCTCAGTCGGTTAAGCACCCGACTTCGGCTCAGGTCCTGATCCTACAGTTCGTGAGTTCGAGCCCAGCGTCGGGCTCTGTGCTGACAGCTCAGAGCCTGGATCCTGCTTCAGATTCCGCGCCTCCCTCTTCTCTGTCTGCCCTGCTCATGCTCTCCTTCCCCCTCTCGCCCAAAAAATAAATAAAAATTAAAAAAAAATAAAAAGTAAAATAAAAATGTATGCTCTTGACAACGAAAGCAATTTGGAAGAAGGGGAAATAAAAAAGCACACAAAGAAAGAAGGGACTGGTTTAACAAGAATCTTACATGTGGAAGGCTGGATAACATCTAGAAAGAGTAGCTGCAACATCTTACCATGACCATTATCTAGGAATGATGTAATCATGTAGGCACTGCAGGGAGACCAAGGCTGGTTGTGGTTCAAGTTGGAAAGCATTGACGCCATCATGTGGGAATTCTGGTCGACACCATTCATGCTGGCACACTGCTTTGCATCATCGTGTGGCATGTTAAACACGTGGCCTAAGAAGCAATCCAAAACCCACATCAAAATACAGCACTTCCTGCCCCCCCCCCATCAGGGATTCACTTGTCCCGAACTGATTATTTCTAGAAGAAGAAATGTATTTTGGAAACAATCGAGCTTGGGCCCGATACGTCTATGTCTTACAAGGCACAGACAAATAGGTAAATTTCCAAATGTCAGGACCTCATACTATCTTATTTTGAAATCTGTTAAGGCTGGCCACGTTCAGAAGAGTGGGAAAAGAGGACTTAACTCCCACCCTGAAATGACTTACCTAGTTCATGAGCCGTGGTGAAGGCAGCTTGCAAGCCATCGTCTTCTATGACCGAACAGCTTCTGGTGGGATCACATATAGTTCCGACATCAGCCATCCCAAGGGTGTCACATGTTTGCGCCCCACACAAGTCCTAAAAGAAGCAAAAGTAGGTCCTTATGCCTAGGAACAGAGAGCGCGAACCTTGCGACCTAACTTTTGGCAACAGGTATCTTCCCGTTCGTATTGGGAGCATTTACATTCGCCGCCACCGAGCTGTCCAAATCTGGGGACTCCTCTGAAGATTTTTCTCTACTGCTATTCAAACAGGACTGTGGGACTTGAGCTAGTAAAATTACGGAGGCCGTAAGGAAAACTGACCACGTTAGCCAATTAAAAGAATGCAAGTCAAGGGCACTGGCGAAACGCCTCATCCTCGTCTCTGGGTTCCGGCGCTGCCCCCCCCCCCCACCAGGAGGGCAGTCATACCTGTCTGGTGAAGAGAATAGCGGTGTCATAGTGCTCCCCGTGCCGGTCACTGGGCGGGTTGTGCTGCTTCTGCCAGTTACAGAAGTTCCGCAGAGTGAGGGCAGCATTGGAAGTCACCTCGGGCCCCTTCTGTTCCTCGTAGATGACCAGGATCTTCACTACCACCAGGCTCACGGAGTTCCGGATGCTGGGGTGTTTGTACAGCCTGGCTGCTACCGAGAACAAGGTGAGAAGGTAGTGCTTCAGACCATTGCCGTGGAACTCTGCCATGGACTGGTCGGCCACCAGCATAGTTTCCACGTAGCGGTGGCTGGACACAAATCGCTTCTTTCTCACGCTCCCAGCGCCTGTAAAGAAACAGAAAAGGTAGTTTGCTCAGGGCCATTCTGGCCGGGAATAGCTACCATCCCAGAGTATATAAGGAAAGCCTAAGCAGTCAAAGCAAACAAAATAAAAATATACCTGGGACCACAATAACAAAAATAGTTGCATCTCTTTTCGCTGCAAATGTTATTTTTAAGGCTTTCTCCTTTACTTTATTTTCTCTCTTTCTCTTTTCTGTTCCTCTGCCTCTTCAATAAAAAAGGCCATGTGAGCCACTAAGGGTTCAGGCTTTTTTTGGGGGGGGGGCGGTGAGGAGGATTTCTTTTGTCCTCCTGCAAGT